ACTCTCCCATTCTCCAGCTCTGGCTCTTGCTCCAAGCCGCCTGCCTCTGCCTGGCCCAGCTCGTAAGTCCTCTGCTTGGTCCCCCTCCTCGCCGGGCTGGGATGGGGGACGGAGTGGGGAGCGTCCCCACTTCCCCCCCCCACCCCGTTGCAGACGCTCGCTCGCAGTGCTGAGCACCCCTGGGATGTGCTGCTTCTTTTCCCAGCACCTTTTGCTTGCTTTTCCCAGGAATGTCCCATGGGGGGGTGGGGGGGGGGTATGGGAGCAGCCCCCAACCGGGACCCACAGCCCTGACCCACCGGGGGGACCTCTCCATGCCGAAAGCTGCCTCCGGCCCCGGGGGACGGGGACAGGGCTGGGCTGCACGGCTTGAAGTTTGGGACTCGTTAGCTAAACAAGTTTGGGTTTATTTTCCCCGTGGGGCAGCAACGGGGCACTCTCCGACGTTTCCCTTCCCAGCAGCTGCCAGATCTTCCACCTCCCACCGCCTGGGAAAATCCTTATTTGCTTCTGCTTTGCTGGGACGCGCTGCAGAGCTGGGCTGAGGGGGGCTGAGCAGGGCTGAGGGGGGGCTCTGACCCTCCCAGGGCTGCCCTGGGGCTCTGTGGGGGCTCCCCGAGGGGCAGCAGGGGGGGGGACACCAATGGCGGAGGCACTGGGGGCCGGGGGTCCCTGGCGGGCTCTCTGCTCCGCACTCACCCAGGAGCAGGAGAGAAGGAAAGGGAAGGTTTCCCTCTCCTCCAAATGGGGCAGGCAGTGTTCCTCCTGGGATCCTGCCCGAGAAGAGAAAAACTCTCCCTGCATTGCAACTGCAAAAATCCAATTTTTAGAAAAGATTTTGGAAAAAAATCTTCCCACGTGGCTCCTGAGCTGCCTGCCGGCACAGCCAGCCGTGCTGCGGAGAGCTGGGGCGGGGGGGAAGCTGCCCTCCTAACACCCCCCCCCGCCCCGGGATGCCTGTGGGCTTCCTATGGCAAGGGCTGGCCAGGGGAGCAGGCTCCGGTGGGAGCAAGGGGGACGTGGGAGCTCTTGGAACAAGGAACCGTTCGGAAATCATCTGGGCTGGACAAAGGTGGTATTCACCAGTGCTCCCATGGACGGGTGCTCGCTCCCACCCCGACCGTGGGGTTTGCCTCTGAGGTGAAGCTGGGGCTTTCCTAGTTCTGCGAGCAAACCAGCGACACCTCTCATCCTTATGCAGTTCCCTTTAAAATAAATAAGCCTGGAAGGACGGCAGAGTCGCAAGCGTGCAGCCCCAGCCAGCCCGTCTGGTTTTCATTTCCAGGAACACCAGGGGTTTGGTCTCCGGGACCGGAGTCTCTTCCCCCCCACCACCCCCCCCAAACACCCCGTTAGGATAACAGAGATTTCTTTGCAAAGTCACTCCTGCGGAGTCCTCAGGGAGGGGTGCGCCCACGGAGGGGCTCGGGGTCCCCGTTCCATACCGGGGCTTCAGGCACCTAAACCCTGCCCGGAGCTCTTAGAAATCCCAGTGCTGGGCTTGCACCCCGAGCAGAGAGGGGCCTCTGCAAGCGCTGCCATCGCCCCGCTCTGCGGGGGCAGGAGCCCCGTGGGTACCAGGGCAGGGGGGCAGCGATGGGGTGGAAATGGGGCAGGGGATGGGGAGCTGGTTGTGCCAGCGTGGGGGGAGATTTCCTGGATTTCTCCATCCATGCCTTTTCCCCGGGACCCCAGCCCAGGCAGTGGGGGACCCGTGGGGAGGGGCAGAGCTCCGACGCCTTGGGGTGCTCACTCCATCCCAGCTCTCCAGAGACAGACGCCCAGCACACACTGACAGCAAGCGCTGTGTCCTGGGCCCCCTCTGACCCCCAGCATCTCTCGGGGTCCAGCTGCTCCTTTCTGACCTGGGTCCTGTCCCTTTTTTCCCCTTAGCGAGGGCCGCCGGGAGAGCCTGGTCCACGAGGGCCCCCCGGTCCTCCAGGAGTGCCGGGAGCGGATGGCATTGACGTGAGTACGGTGCGGCCGGGAACCTGTGCGGGCTGGAGGGAGGGAGGAGGGGACCCGCAGCACAAAGAGGGACATTGTGTCGGGGCAGAGGCTTGGCGGAGGGCAGGGGTGCCCATGCCGTGCCGTTCCCGCAGTGTGCTGCTCCCCGGCTGGGGCAGGCTGAGCATCCCCGGCTTTGCCGGTGACCCTGGGCAGCAACGATGCCACGGGGGAGCAGAGCTCCTGCACCCCGGGGCTCCATCCACCTCCCTGGGACAGCAGCCCATGGCCTCCTGACCCCCTTGGGAAACGAGGCCTGAAATGCTTTTTGGGGAGCACAGCGGCGGGGAGGTTTGGGTGCAGGGTGCTCGGGGCACCCCGAGGTGAAGCTCGGGGCAGCAGAGAAGGCTGGGAGGGGTGGGATGCAGGGATCAGCCCAGAGGTGCTCAGTGAGGAGGGGGGGCTGGTGGGGAGCAGGACACCCAGGTTGGGTGCCAGCAGCGCGGCGACGTGGCTGTGGCAGGCGGCCCCGGCTCTGGACCCTCCCCGGGGCTGTGGGGAGGGAGCCTGAACAGAGGGGAGATCTGTGAGCCAGCAGAAAGCGCCCTTTCTCCGAGACTTGCCCCAGGGTGTTATTTTAGTGCTATTTATACCCAGAACAGCCGCAGCCCTCCAGCAACCCCAGCACAGCCCTCTTGTCTCAACACCGGCCCCATCCCGACCTGGCTGCTGCACTGGGGGATCCAGCATCTCGCTCCGGCGTGGGGAGGCGGATGGGAGACAGGGGTCCTGAGCGCCCTGCGCTGCAGGGCCTGGCTCTGCAGGGTGACAGACCCCTTTTCACAACCTTCTTTCCTTTCCCTAGGGTGACAAAGGCTCAGCCGGAGCCCCCGGGTCCCCGGTGAGTACCCATGCCTCCTGGCAGCTCGCCCATGGTCTTGCCCCTTCTGGAGTTGCTCCTTTCAATCTGCCCCCACGCCTCTTCTCTTTTAAAGGGTCTCAAGGGGGAGCCTGGAGCCCCCGGTCCAGACGGGCCCCCAGGGAAGCCGGGCATCGACGTGAGTACTGACCCCCTGTCCCCCCCGCCGGCGGCGCTGGCCGCAGCCCCCAGCTCACAGCAAACTCCTCTTACCCCCAGCACAGGGATCCTTTTCTGTCTCACATAAGAAAGTGCCCAAATCCCTTCGTGTGGGCTGAAGGCACCTTTTGAACCACAGCAGAAGATGCAGGCAGGGGTTGGGGCAGGGCTGCTGCCACCCCCTCCCGCTGCTCCCAAAGTGCATCCCCACTCTAGGCAGGGTGAGAGCTGAGCCAGGGCACAGCACCGGCATCCCTGAGCAGAAAAGGCTTTTCCCTGCCCTTTACTGCTGTCCTGAGCCCTGGTTCAGCGCTCGTTTCCTCCAACATAAATCCGGAGCAATCCCAGGACCCCCCCAGAGCCAACCCCTTGGCACCCACGCGGTGACTTGGCCCACTGTCCCCTCCCTGGCAGAAGCACAGCCCCAGGCAGAGGTGGCAGGCAGAAAGGGGATGGGGCAGCCTCTTTGCCCTGCCCTGTGGCTGGCTCCTGCCCCGCGCTCCCCGGCCGGGGTACGCAGGGGTGCGTGATGGGTGCCCAAGGGGGTTTGGGCTGGGTGCCTGCCCCCCACCCCGGTGCAGCACTGCACGGGTAAGGGCCCGCAAGCCTTGGACATTTGCTCGCTCATCAGAAGGAAACCCCAGCCGCAGGGTCCTCATCAGTGCCTCTGGATGGCGCTTCATAAATCTTTTGGGGTTTAGTTATTCTTCAATGGCAAGTGAATAGAATAATAACTGCCGTTAGAAGCATGCATTATTCATCCAGGCTAATCTGCCTGCAAAAGAGTTCAGCTCCCTTGAATAGGGAGGCTGAGCGGAGCTGGGCTGAGCGGGGGGCTCTCCACTCGTGCCGTCCCCCCGTGCCTGGCGGCGTGCAGGAATTAGCCGGTGGGTAAAGCTCAGGCCATCAGCTGCAGGGATCCAACCCCAAACCCCTGCACCGGCGCAGCCCTCACATGCACTGGAGTCGGGGACAAGGGAGCCAGGGAGTGACCCGGAGTTGGTATCACCGGGATCACAGACGGGCCGGCTCCCCGCGTGCCTCTGCCAGGGCTGGGACAGCCGTGCTGGATGTGCCCTGCGGCGTGAGGGTCCCTGCCGAGCCCCGGCGCGGGGTCCCAGAGCAGGGCAGCTCGTGGGGGCATTGCTGCGAGGCTCCCCGTGCCGTGGGGCTTGGCTCCGGGCACAGCTTCACCTCCAGGTTTGCTGCGTGATGTGCACAGTGGTGACAAGCACAAATTCCCCGCTAAATAACCCTTGACCCCTCGTGATGGAAAAAAAGCCCCAGCCGAATCGTCTGGCTGGAGAGCAGAAGGGCTGGCAATAACCTCCCGCCGTCTCTCCTCTTGCAGGGCCTGACGGGAGCCAAAGGGGAGCCAGGGCCCATCGGCGGGCCAGGACTTAAAGTAAGCGAGAACTCCCCGCTCCAGGCTCCCACCTTCCCCCTCTGCAGCCAGGGGGGACCTGGCCAGGCTGGGACCAGTCCCATTGCCCTGGAGGGGATGCATGGATGCAGGAATGGGGCGATGGAGTATTTGGCAATGAGGGGGCACTGAGACTGGGTCCGGGGAGGGGTGAATTTTAGCAGTGGAACAGGGTTTGGTGGAGCCAGACCCTCCCCTTTTGGCTCCTGACTCTCCCCTTCTGTCCTGGCAGGGCCAGCCCGGACTCCCAGGGCCACCGGGGCTCCCCGTGAGTATCTGCCTCTCCCATGGGTGCTGGTGCTGCACCCACTCCTGGCTCCAGCCCCCGCTCCCTGATCACCCACGAGCAGGGTGGGCACAGAGCGGGGACCCAGCCCCGGCCCCCCCCATCCGCACCCTTGGTGGGGGTGTGGGCATCGCCCTGCTCGGGGCAGGGCTGCTGGTGGGTTTGGGGGGGGGGCAGGTTGGAGGATTCTAACTCATTGTGTCTTTCTTCTGGTTGCAGGGCCCTTCGCTGCCAGGACCCCCCGTAAGTGCCGCACTTTTGGGGCTGTGGGCGGCTGGGGACCCTGCTTGGGGTTGTGCTGGAAGAGCTGAAATCTCAGCACCCCCAAAGTGGGGGGTGTGTGTCAGGGCTTGGCCTCTCTCACTCGGTGAATGTTTTTCTTCTCCTTAAGGGGCTTCCAGGCCAGGTTGGGCTTCCCGGAGAGATCGGCGCGCTGGGACCCAAGGTGAGGGGGCAGGAGGGGGCACGGGAAAACCTCCCCTCCTTACCCCAGCATCCGCTCCTCCGCACTTCAGGGCTCCTGGGGTAAACAGGGATGACCCTGCAATATGGGCAAGAGGGGTGCTATGGTGGGGACGGAGGGGTGACAGACTCTGCGCCTGCAGCCGGGTCCCCCAGCTGCATCCCCTCCCAGCTCATGGCCAGGGAATGCCCGAATTCCCACTGCAACAGCCTGGGTCGCTGGTGCTTCATCACCCCTCTCCGCCCTGGCTCCAGCAGTACCTGCTCCCTCCCCACCCCTAAATCCCTTTTCTTGGGGTTGTTTTTATCCAGGGCGACCCTGGACCCGATGGCCCACGGGGTCCCCCAGGCCCTCCAGGGAAACCCGTGAGTATCTCCCCAATCATCACCATTTTCCGCAGGAGGGAAAAAAAAATCCCCCAGCCCTTCAACCCAGGCTTTGGGGGCTGGGACTGGGGCTGTGGCACACACCTCCCGCCTTGCTCCCCTCCCTCCCAGGCGTAACATTCACCCCTCCTGTAAAATAGTGCTGATATGGTTTGATGCTGATGGTCTCCTTCCCTCCAGGGCCCCCCGGGACACATCCAAGGACTGGAAGGCAGCGCTGATTTCTTGGTGAGAGCTGCCATTACCTCGTCCCTCCTTGCAGGCCTTTGCAGGCTAAGGGCAGCTGGAGGAGCTTTGCTGCCCTGGCCTGAGATACAGCCACCAGTGTAATTTGGTAACTGGGGTAGAGTCCTCAGCTGAAACGATGGGTGCCCTGTATCACTGCACAGCACCGCTTCGCCGCGCGGCATGGAAGCCCGTCCTTTCCAGCGCGGCTTCTCCACAGCCTCTGGGTCCTTTCCCAACTCAACCACTGTTTCTCCTTCCCCACCAGTGCCCGACCAGCTGCCCACCAGGGCCCAAGGGCCCCCAGGGACTGCAGGGACTGAAGGTAAGGGAGCCCTGGAGCTGCCAGGGAGCAAACAGGGACCTCCACTTGCAGCATGCTGCGCCTGAGCGGAGGAGCCTTCCCCGGCCCGGGGAGGGACCACAGGGGCATGCACATTCAGAGAGCCCTGGGGTCTGTGGGAGGGGTCCCCTGTGGCTCCCCAGCTCCTACTAGCCCCTTCCTGGGGGGTGAGACCCCCTACCAAAGCCCCCGCTGTGCTGCTGCCCAGCTCCTCCACTGCAAAGCCCAGAGGGTTAAACCTGGCAGGCATCCCCACCGCATCGCCAGTGGGATGCTGAGCCCCACCACACACCAGTGGGACGCTGAGCCCCACCCCATCACCAGTGGGATGCTGAGCCCCACCGCATCACCAGTGGGAC